TGAAGTATAAATATATAAAAATAAAAAAAAATTATGAGGAATTTCAAAAATTTAGTAGTGTAATAATCTAAGCCCGGAATTTTGAAAAAAGGCATTTTTTTTTACTTTTTTTATAAATGGATATTGTCTTTTAATAAAAGCATTATTTAGTTGCGTGACCTTTAATTTTTGGTTTTGCAGCACAGCGTTGTTGCATTGAAAGTAGACTCTCATGCGTTTTTCACAGCCTCCCATAGTTGCATGGTCGATGTCGACTTATCTTGGGCTGCTGTCTCCTTGACATCAGTCCAAAAATTTTCTTTGGGGTTGATGTCAGTGCACTGTGGCGGCCATTCCATTACCTTGCCATTCGTTTCCTCAAACCACCTTTTAGAAAATTCACATGTGTGCTTGAGATCGTTGTCCTGGTGGAATGTCCAAACAAGCAGAATTTCTTCACTGGCATACGGCAGCATGGTTTTCTGGAGTATTTCGACATAAGGATGTCCAAACTTTGATACTCTCCCGTTTATGTTTTACCGTTTTTGTTGCATATTTAGTCTGGTATTCGGTATTGGGCGGACGTCTTACATATTGACGCGATCCTCTTCTGCCATACTTAACAATTCGTCCGACCATAAAATTATCCTCTATTTTGTCGAAGGCCAATTAAAATTTCCTTTAGGGAATCAAAGTTATTGTTCAACATGAGCTTTAGGCTATAACGGCACTTTTTATGGGTCAATGCCCTCACGCACTTCTAATTACGTTAATGACGTCTTTTACCTCCGTAGCCTTGGCTATCTGACCAAGGAATTGACATCTCTTACTGACAGTTCTGGGTTGCTCCTACGTTTTTATAACTTGATTGGTACCTGATAGCATTACGTACTATTGTGGGTGAGCAATTAAGAATATTTTGAACTTCGACATAAGTTTTGCCCTTAGAAAGGAATTTTTTATCAGGGCGCGTTTTTCAGGCGTACAATTCTTATTTTTCGACATTTATAAATTAATAAATGTAAAATTTTACCATTTACACCAAAAACTTTAATTAAATAAATTAATTTCACCGCGTTTTTAAAATTTTCACAAAAAAATTCAGGTAATTTTAATTTTTCAAACATTTCTTTTACGTACTACTAAGATTTTGACTGACCGAAAATGTGTTAAAAATAAAAAGTCCGGAAAATGTAACAAAAACAACAAGCCAAGCGAAACAAGTTGTTGCATGTTTTCATGTAAACACCTGAAGCTAACTGATTTTGAAGTGCATCCCAACAAAAAAGATTGAATAAAAAAGTATGATCTCGTATATTAAATTAATGAATGAATAAGTATTCGGTATGTTTTGCTTTACTTTCTTTTTCATTACGTTTAGCATACATACATATGTGTGTGCTTCGATAGCGAAAGCAGAAAAGTATCGCAATGTCGAAAGTTTAAGTTGTTAGTAATATATTCCAGAAATGTTAGGTAAGAATTAAGGGAGTAGTGTTATTTATTTATTGCACTTGCATAAATTGATTTTCACTGTAAAATTCGTTTATGATTATTATGAATTATATCTGTTATAGTTCAAGTTGTTTTGATTTAAATGGGAAATCCCTTCGTTTCAATCTACCTTCTATGTTATATTTGGTATGGTATTTGACTTGTTATTTGCTCAACATAGAAACATTATGAGCTATGTATATCAACGATAGCACATTCAATGAGATATCTGGTAATAGAGTGAGTGGCACGTTGCAAGTTTAACTGTGCTATCTACTCCCACAGCAAGGGTGCCTGCAGAGTAGACGCTCTAAGCCGAGTCGAGGGTAAAACTGTTGATCGATTTTAGGAAACGCAGAATAAATCCGATATTCACCGCTGAATTACATGTGTATTTTGCTATGCTACTAGTACATGTTAATTTTTTAATATGGTAATTTTATTTGTGCTTATGCAACCGAAAAGGAAAGACTTGGATTCTTCAGATCAATTACATTTTGCTCCAGCTCTGTGGTGAATATTATAAAAAATATATCGGCATTAATAACAAATACAAATAGGGATGACCTTGGCTGAAAGGTTGAAAGAGTTTAAAATTTTGTATAAGGATCTAAGACGTTATCCGCAAACGTTTTTTGAATAAACAGTGGTACCTCGATACTTGTAACATCTCGATTCTTATATTTTACATTATGTACTCAGTACTTGCGACATCAAAAATTTTGACCTCGATACTTGCGACAAGACCTTGTCGATTTTGTTAACGGTTCCTTAGTTGGAATACATTTCTGGGAAGTCCCATTTTTTTCGACGTTGAATTGTTGTAACTCTTACGCATGTGCGTTTCGGAAGATTTGAATCAGTTTTAACTGACGTTTTGTGTAGTACGTTTTCATAAAGGAAAAAGTTTACGGTGCTAACAATAAAATAGAAAGTTGACATTTTAAAGAAACTACGTGAGAGATATTCTGTCAATTAACCAAAAGTTTTTAAATGCATACGTTTAAACCATCAGAACTTCCACAAATTGAAAAATCACTCATGAAATGGTTTGCAAAACATCGAGCAAAGAACTTACCATACAAAAGTATAGGAAAAGCCAGGTGACTTTCGTGCTAGCAGTCACAAATTCCAAAAACATATTTGGAATACGAGCATTGAAAATGTATGGCGAAAAACTTTCGAATAATACTCATTCAGTTAACCCATTTTTGCAAATCTTAAACAAAAAAGTTACTAAATCAGGTTTGCACAAGGAGCAGATATACAATGCCGATGAGTATGGCCACTTTTGGAAGCTTTTGCCTGATAGAACTCTCCGGCTCCGGGACATAAAATCAGTAAAGAAAGAATAACTTGTTTGTACGAATGATAATCATAGACTAAAATAAAAGGAGTAAAATTAGAGGTTATTGTGAAGTCATTGAATCCACGCTAACTTAAAAATTTTACGGATTAGCTACCAAGGAAATAAAAGTGCTTGGATGACCTTGGCTTTATTTGAAGAATGGTTTCACAAAACATTTGTTTCTCCGTTGTCAAAATCTTTCCGAAAAGGCTATTTTACTTATTGATAATGCTAACTGTCACCCCAAAGAAGGAGAGTGAAAGAGCACTGATGGTCAAATTTTTGGTGATGTGTCATCTTCCGAATTGCACTGCTGTTATGCAGCCTATGGACCAGAATGTCATAAGGCCGAATATCTGGGGAAGTATTAATGATAGCGATTGTGACTTCGGACCTTTTTGTAGCAAATAAAATTTCCTACAGGTTTGTCAAGTACATTTTTTCTATAGGTCTTGACCTAAATAAGTAAAAAATGCGAATTTCGTGGAAAATCAGGTTTAGAGCACCGTACTACCGCGCCGGTTTGAGTTTCGACTTTGTCGTAATGGGAGAGTGTTCAATTCTGAGGAATATGTGTTTAAAGCCACAGCGATGCCATAAAATGCCTCTGAGCTATAGAAAATTTTTTTTTCAACGGAAAATTTTTACATTCCTTGGTCCAGTCCTTAATGTTAATATTAAGCGCTCAAATTTTCGGGGAATTTTTTAGGGTATTTGCAAGGAAATTTTATACTGGTATTGAAAACAATGAATAGTTAAAAAAAAAAACACCCTAATGTATATAAAAGAAAGTCGTGTTAGTTACACCATTTATAACTCAAGAACGGCCAAACCAGTTTGGCTTAAAATTGGTGGAGAGATTCTTTTTATCCTTTTTTGTCATAAGTCAGTGCAATTCATGAATACAAAAAATATATTTCAAATCATAAGAACTTTGTATGTTTGTAAGAATCATTTGA